ATTCTCTGAATCATTGCACTTTGGTAGTGATGTCTCATGCTGTCTTAGAATAATTAATGCATTTAAAGAGGTGTCAGACTGGGATATTGTGTGTGTGTGTGTGTGTGTGTGTATCAGGGAGGAGTCTATTAGGAGACACATCAATGTTAGGGAAGACCCAGGAATATAGTGTATTGAGGTACCCAATACTGGACAAAATTGTGAATTAACATTTGTTCATTTAGATTTGAGAAAAGAGGTATAAAAAAGAAAGGACCATTAGACCTCTCTTTCTCCTCAACTCTAGCTCTTTCTCTCCCCCAACTCTCTGTCACTTTCATTCCCTCACCTACTCAAGGGACTTGTATGCTGTTCTAGGCTTTGTCTTCTGAGTGAAGCTTCTGTGGTCTAGACACATTTTTTTTCTACTTTTCTTTGTCCTACATACAGTTAATGCAATTGTCTACCCTGTTAATGCCAAGACTGATTTTAGACCTGACCAACCTAACACCTGAAATTTGCCTGAATGATACCTCCTACCACAGAGTTCATATTTTTCTCTGAAATTAAAATAATTTTCATTTTGAAATAATTTTTAATTGTTAAAACCTTTTAAAATATAAAACATTTCTTAAGGATATTTGAGGCATTTAAGCATTCTAGTGTTTTTCATCCTGTATTCAAGAAAAAAAGATAGTTTTTTTTTTATTGTTTTGTTTTGTTTTGAGACGGAGTTCCACTCTTGTTACCCAGGCTGGAGTGCAATGGCGCGATCTCAGCTCACCGCAACCTCCGCGTCCTGGGTTCAGGCAATTCTCCTGCCTCAGCCTCCTGAGTAGCTGGGATTACAGGCATGCGCCACCATGCCCAGCTAATTTTTGTATTTTTAGTAGAGACGGGGTTTCACCGTGTTGACCAGGATGACCTCGTGATCCACCCGCCTCGGCCTCCCAAAGTACTGGGATTACAGGCGTGAGCCACCGCGCCCGGCCTGTTTAATAAAATCATCAAGAGTGGGTAACACCGTAGTTTTAGGTAATTTGTTTGTTTGAGATGGAGTTTCGGTCTTGTTACCCAGGCTGGAGGGCTATGGCGCGATCTCGGCTCACCGCAACCTCTGCCTCCTGGGTACAAGCAATTCTCCTGCCTCAGCCTCCTGAGTAGCTGGGACTACAGGTGCGTGCCACCATGCCCAGCTAATTTTTGTATTTTTAGTAGAGACGGGGTTTCACCTTGTTGACCAGGATCGTCTTGATCTCTTGACTTCGTGATCCACCCACCTCGGCCTCCCAAAGTGCTGGGATTATAGGGGTGAGCCACCGTGCCCGGCCATAATTTGTTATTTTCATACTTTGTATGTTTTCCCTGCTTTTTAAATTCTAGTAGCCAGATCTGAAGTTTGCTGTATTATGTCTACTATATACAGTTTGTTTTTAAGGCAAAAGCTTTAAGGCACATTCTAGAATTCTTGAATTATCTTTTAGAAACAGTTACCTTATGAATAAAATATCAACCTAAATATAGGGAAGTTTGGATTTCACTATTGTCTTCTTTTCTGAATTGCTGGGAATATAGGCACTTGATACTTGTTTATTTGACTTCATCGTGACCTTGTTATCATTTTGAATGCTTCAGATTCTCGAATTGCACATTGAAAGAAGACCCATTCCTTGCTTAGTTGCCCTTGTACAGTGTCAATTTTAATGTCTAATATTTTGAGCTGCTTGAGAAAAGTAGGATTATCATATAAGACATATATACCCATTTTATAAAAAGAAAACTTGTATTTCTCAGTTTGTACCTTATTTCCTTGGGTACTGAATGTTTGTGGCCACTTAAGCAAAGCCATGTAATAAATTACTGTAGCATAGTCTGATCCCTAAAATATGGGTTAATTTTTTTTCTCCCCGTAGGATATAATTTTTTTTCATTAACCACTTTCACTTAAGTAAAAGGACATCTTTTAACTGCTTTGGAAGTAGCCACAATGCTTAACTTGTATAGTTGCTGAATCATGCTTTTTCCTGTCTTTCTTTCTGATTAACTTTCTCTGAGCAACTTTGTCTTATATTAACATTAGCATCCACTCATTTGAACTAATAGTTACAGTTATAGTAACATATAACAATATTTAACTGTAATAGTTAATAAAAGCTAACATTTACTGAATGCCTACTGTGTGCTAAAGGACTAAGACCCAGGGCAAAACTCTTTTTTAGGACAAGGTTTGAATTTTAATAGTGAAGCTGAGAATATGCCGGAATGTTGTATAATTGGCTGTGTTGCATAGTGAGATAATGTAATTTCAGTGTATGGCAAACATGTGACAGCTCTTTGTTGTTGCCTGCCACATAGGCTTACATTAGCCTTAATTTCCTGTTCTTCATATATCATTATGACTATATTTTTATAGTCTTGTTTATACCAGTCTGAATCTTCCTAAATGATGACATAGCATTAATCATTGTAGGTACAGTGATATGAGGTCTAAATTATGTTAGAATTCATGGTTTTTTTTAAAGGAAATTATGACTTTTTTGAATCTTATAACAGATTTTCCATTCCTACCATCAAAAAGTATTGTCCATATGCTCATGGTGCTGTACAAACCAAATACCGTTTGTGTTTTAAAGAATTCACATGGCTATTAAGCAAATCCTGGATATTGGACAAATAGCAATAAAGGTTTAAAAAAATGAAGTTTCAGTTAAAAAAAAACTTACTCCCCACCCCCAGGGATGAAATCAAAGCATGAATTTAGAATTCGGAATAAGTATTGCTTATGACATCAAATTTTATTGTGATGTATCAGGTGGAAATTTTACCAACATTTTTCTTAAAGCAAAAAACTCAGGCTATGTGTATATTGAATGCTAGTACATTCTAATTTCCCTCCTCCTTCTCCTTTTCCCCAACTTCCTCTTCCCTCTCCCTGTTTCTCATCTCTCTCTCTCCTTCTTTTTGATCAGTAACGTTTTAGAGTTGAAAGCTATGCTAAGGGTACCCATTTCTTTTCAGAATAATTTAACTTTTCTTCTTAAGATTTTGTGAGCATCCATTCCGTATGTAAAGAGCATTTATTATGCCCAATGGAAGTGAGAGAGTTGTGGGACTACCCCTTAATAAGACCAAATCATACCACAAATATCCACCTTAGTTTAGTGGTTGAGCAGGACTTGTTTATATAGATAAGGTTTCCATTTGTAATTTTTGTTTTATGTACAATATACTATAATAAATAATTTATACCTTTATATGTACCAAGTTTATTTTGAAAAAAAAAAAACTGGATACATTTATTGAACAGCTATTAAAATATGTACACTGACTTTCCATAAAATTTCATATACATTTCAAAACCAGGGCAATATTTTAAATATGTTTTAATGATACTATGTTGTGTTTACTGAGTGAAATTGATCCACCATGGAGCTGAAATTAGTACTCTTAATTTTAATCTTTATTTCTTAAGAAAAAATATTCATGACTTTATAGCTACTGTGATCCCCATGATATTAAAAAAAAAAAGTTGGTAAAATTCTGTGATGAGTTTGTGTATAATAAACTTCTATCAAACCCATTCTATTTTTTTAATTTTTAATTTTTGTGGGTACATAGTAGGCATATTTATGGGGTGCATTAGATATTCTGATACAGGTATACAATGCATAATCACATCAGGGTAAATGAGGTATCTATCCCTTCAAGCATTTATCCTTTCTTTGTGTTACAAGTAATCCAATTATATTTGTTTAGTTATTTCATTTCTATTTTTATTTATTTATTTAGATACAGGGTCTCACTCTATTGCCCAGGCTGCAGTGTGGTGGCACAATCATGGCTCACTGCAGCCTTGAACTCTTAGGCCCCCTTCCCACATCTCTACCCCCCTCCTCCTGTGGCTGAGACTGCAGGCATGTACCACCATGCCCAGCTAATTTGTAAATTTTTTTGTAGAGATGGGGGTCTCACTGTGTTACCCAAGTTGGTGTCAAACTCCTGGGCTCAAGAGACCCTCCTTCCTTAGCCTCCAAAAGTGCTGGAATTGTAGGCATGAGCCATCACGCCCAGCCTCTTAGTTATTTTAAAATGTACAATAAATTATTGTTGACTATAGTCACTCTGTTGTTCTATCAAATACTAGATCTTATTCATTCTAATTATGTTTGTACTCAACACATTTTCTATCCTAAGCTGTACCAAAACCATTTCCACTGGATGTATTCCATACAAATTTTATTTTGATTGGTTATTTTCACTTGCTAGAGTTCTAGTAAAATGCTGAGGATAACTATTATATTTCTAATGAAGTTTACAAAAATATTGAACACTTGTAAAATTGAGTAACCTATCATCCATGACCGTGAATAATCAACTTTACTTTAGCTTGATTTAAAAACTTTTTTTTAGGAATCCAGTATTTGTTTGTAATAGTTTTATCAGATCTATCTAGTTTTAAACTCTTAAATTACCTAGAAAAACCTAAAGCATACTCACTCAGTGGAATGTCTGTAAGGTTTCTCTGTGAATACAAACAGAGAATATTTGCTATGGCCTCAGAAAAACAAGTTTCAGCATTTGATTCTAGGGGAAAAGCATTTTATGTTTTACTTGGTAGGAATAGGGATTATGCAGGTAAGAGTCAATATACATTGAAATTCTTAAAGAATTAATCCAATATAAATATAAAGAAGCTATGATTTATTTGAAATTCTTAACCTCTCTTTCAGGGATTTATTACATTTATTTATAATAGTTTCTTAGTCCTGTATTTTGGGAGGCTATATTAAGATATAGGAGTACAGAACTTTTTTTTTTTTTTTTTTTTTTTTTTTTTTTTGAGACTTATGGGAGTAATAGAGGGGATTAATCTATGGAATAGATCTGAAACAAGGCTGATAGACTTAGATTTAAACAATTTCAGTAATTAAAAGCACACTGAATCTAATGAGATCTGGCACTTGTTTTTTCTGAAATGGATTACCCACTGCTTTTTTTTTTCTCTCTCCAACTTCTTACAGGAGCCCAATTTCCTCCAATTGCAGCACAGGACCTTCCTCTTGTTCTAAAGGCTGGCTATCTTGAAAAACGCAGAAAAGGTAAACTTTAGGTTCTAATGAAAAAATCTAAAAATGGTTTCGTCCTTAGATAGAGCATGTTTGTAGTATATATGTGGAGGCAATGTTCTTTTTAGGTTATTGAAGAGTTTTAAGACTGTAAGAAAATCTGGATGACATTATCCAGACCACAAAATATAGTTCTTAGCTTTAAATAAATTTTAATTAGAAAACAATAGGTCATGTTTTCAGTTGTCAACCTTGATTATTTGTAAATTATTCAGGAGCTGTTTCCTGCCTCTTAAAGGAAGGCTGCAGGCCGTGACTATATTCTTAAGCATGGGATTTCTCACCAATATCTCACTGGGCTCAGCAGCAGGTTCTCCTGTGTCTGACCTGGCATGCACCATGGTTCAGATCAAGCCTGGCATCTTGTCTGCCATTGTCTATTTTTCATTTCAGTGTTCCTCTCCATCGGTTATGATAATTGGGAGTTGACCATATGGTCTCACTCTTTCAACACCAATATTTAATGGACATGAAATATGGAGGTGGTGTTACAATGTAAGAAATGAAAAGCAGACAGTCTTTTCACTACCATTCTGCTTATCTCTCTGGTAGTCCCTTTGGGCTTTTCTATTTATATATCATTTTGCTTTTCTTACCTTTCTTGGCTGAATTTTAAAACTGGAAGAAATAACAGAAATAATCTAGGTTAGCTCCCCCGCTTCTTTTTATAACAGATGAGAAACTGAGACCCAGATGGATCAGTTATCTCAAGATTGCATAGTCAGATGCTTCTTTGACTATCCCTGTCAGAAAACGTTGTTAGCCATGCTGTTGCTCCCGTAAGTATGGCAGCCCCATAGCTACTTTACTTTATTCTCTTTAGCTTGTTGGTTTGTTGCTGTTTTGTGTCTTGGAAAAGAAGATACAAATTAGTCATAGAATGTTAGAGCTCAAAGGAAGCTTTGAAATCATATTAACTAACTTTTTCTGTTACAGTAAGGAAATGGCCTTACATTTTCCCCTCTTTATTGCAGATCACAGCTTTCTGGGATTTGAATGGCAGAAACGGTGGTGTGCTCTCAGTAAAACGGTATTCTATTATTATGGAAGTGATAAAGGTAGTGTTGGTGTCCAATTATATTAACTACTATTGTGTAAGAATTTTTTGGCCATCCCTTCCTTCTCTTTTGGGTACAGAGTAACTGAAGATGACCAGATAAATAATAACTGAGTATTTTAACAATTATAATCTTATTAATTTGATTCATTTCATTATTTGACAAATGCTCCAAATACCAAAATGCCCTCACAGCTAAAACAATTGTGTTGTATTGAATTAGAAAAGAGAGTAAAATAACTTTAATCTGCCTGGCCTTTTATCTTAGGAATTATTTATTTTCCAGCCTACAGTTGTAGAATTTCTGGGAACGTTAAGAACATAGGGCTGTGAGAGTTTCAATGGCAGAAAAATAGATTATTTTCCTTAAATATTTTAAATGAAAATTAGATAAAATTAAATATGCACAGCCCCTTTCTTAGCTCTCTTTACAGATTTAAGGAATAACAGCAAACATGTATATAGAATTTACTATGTACTGGGCACTCTTCTAAGCACTCTGTTTAAAGTGCATTAGCTATATTAACTTGTTTAGCTCACAACAACTCTGCAAGTACTATCATTGGCACCATTAATTTTACTTTCAGGAAAACTGAGAACAGAGAGGTTAAATGACTTGTTCAAGGTCACAGAGTTGGAAAATGGCAGATCTAGGAATTTTTTTTCCTTTGTTTTTAGTGACAGAGTCTTCCCTTGGTGCCTAGACTGGAGAGCAGTGGCTTTTCACAGTTGCAGTCATCACACCCTACGGCCTCAAACTCCTGGGCTCAAGTGATCTGCCTGTGTCAGTCTCCCAGGTAGCTGGGAATACAGGTGCACACTGCTGCACCCAGCTCATATTTGAGATTTTAACCTAGGGCGTATGGTTAAGAGTCCATGTTCTTAACCACTATTGTCACTACATTAATTTAAAAATAATAAGATACATTTTGTAACTTCATTGTTAATAAAGATCTCAGTCCCAGTTCACATAAACCTATTATTTGAACACATGAAGCCACAAAATAATGAAATGCAAAGATTGTAAGCTTTCTGAGTTGCGCTTTGTTCTAGAGAAAATAGGCTAGGAGTTGAGTATTATAAAGTAAAGGTTATATCGAAATAACGTTCATTTCCAGAAAGGACACTTTAAGGAGAAAAAGACAAAAGTATCACTGAGTGTAAGCTTTCCTATGGAATTGTTATCAGTGTTGTTTGGAAATTTTTTTATTTGACTTTACTTACAGTTTTTAGAGGTTTTTTCCTCTGTTCTAAAAACTTACAGTAAGATTGTCATATTTCAGATAAGTCTGAAATACTTACCTAATACTAGAAGTTGTTCTTACCTTTTGGCTAGTGAGATTAACTAATTAATTTAGTAGGTAGTTTGCATTCCATCACTAATTTACAGTATGTTCAAATGTACTAATCGCATTAGTGAAGTATAAACTGTGTAAACAGCTATAAACAAGCATCTTTCTTCTGCTAAGCGTCAGTAGTGAAGTAGGTCAGAAAATTTAGAGTCCAAGTTCAGTTACAATTATCATAGAAATATGGTTTTGTATCATATTGTAAATTTTGATCAAGATATTACCTTTCCACAAAATATCCTCTTTTACACCATACCAGGGGAGGGAGGTTTCAAATCCTTGTGACTTTGATTCAATTAGGCTTCTCATTTCTAATTTCTTTAAGAATCAATGAATACTAATGTCAGTGTTTCCTCCATTTCTAGTCCTGACTGGCATATAATAATGGTTAGGCCAAAGATTAGCAAGAGTTTTCCCAAAACCCAAAGCATGCTAATATTTACTTCAAACACTGATATAATATATTCAATGAAAACATTTTAATTAGAATTATTTGGATATGAGTTACATTCCTTTTTTTTCTTTTTTAGAGATGAGGGGTCCTCACTCTGTCACCCAAGCTGGGTGCAGTGGTGTCCTCATAACTCACTGCAACCTTGAATTCTTGGGTTCATTTTTATTCTTATTTGATGAGACCTAATGTTAGTAACATTCTTTGTAATTTGCATTTTAACTACTTTGTGATCCATTTAGCCCTTTCTGTCTTTTCTGTTACTGGAAAGGAATCTCAATTGAGACCCCAAGAAAGGGTTCTTGGATCTCGTGCAAGAAAGAATTTGAGGTGAATCATAGAGGAAAGTGAAAGCAAGTTTATTAAGAAAGTAAAAAAAGAATGGCTACTCCATAGGCAGAGCAGCAGCATAGGCTGCTCAGCTGTTTACACTTATTGTTACTTTTGATTATTTGTTAAACAAGGGGTGGATTATTCACGAGTTTTCCTGAAAAGGGGTGGGAAGTTCCCAGAACTGAGGGTTTCTCCCCTTTTTAAACCATATATGGTAATTTCCTGTTGTTGCCATGGCATTTGTAAACTATCATGGCACTGGTGGGAATGTCTTTTAGCATACTAACACATTATAATTAGCATATAATGAGCAATGCGGATAACCAAAGATCACTTTCATTGCCTCACTTTCATTGCCATCTTGGTTTTGGTGGGTTTTGAACAGCTGCTTTACTGCATCCTTTTATCAGCAAGGTCTTGTGCCAACCTCCTGTCTCATTCTGTGACTAAGAATGCCTAACCTCCTAGGAATGCAGCCCAGTAGGTCAAAGCCTTATTTTACCCAGCCCCTATTCAAGATGGAGTTGCTCTGGTTTAAACGCCTCTGACACTTCCACTTTTAAAAAATTACCATTTTAGCATTCCTTTTTCATGTTGATGTATGAAGATATGGCTTCTATCTCCTTAAATTTTTCTCTTTTACTTTGTAGCCTCCTGTTTCCAGTGAAATTTTAGATTTGTTTATAGTGGTTCTTTTTTCTGTTGGCAGTTTCCTTTGAAATTCTTAGCCAGTTCCTCTCTTTTAAGGGACTCCAAACAGAGTCCCTTAAATCATTTTTTAATCACTTGTTTGGCATAATCCCAATTTCCTTCCCCTTTGTCTTTTTCTTATCAGGAAAATATGTCAATTTTTTTTTCTTTAGTGAAATTAGATATGGTTTGTATAGCCTTATTTAGTGTATGTGTGAACCATTTACCTAATGGGAAGAGCTCATATCTAGATATATGAGAACTATCATCCTCCAACTAAGTAGGATTTAGATAAATGGATTATAGAGGCACAGAAGGAGTTGACACCACTTACAGGTTAAAGTGTGCTTTATTACTGTTTGACAGATACATAGTTCACATTTTCTACTATATTGTGTGTTCCAAAAAAACATATTGACCTATCAAGATAGTAGTGGCTTAGAATGAGTAGTTCCAACATGTAAGGTAAATACTGCACTTACCATTGTACCTATAAATATTGTCTGTATTTATTATTTATAGCCATTTGGGACACTTAAGTAACAAATACATACAGTATATATTTTAACAGCTTATGAAATCTCATTCATCCTTTCATCTCCTCCCTTTTCTTTTCATTGTCATGAGTCTCATTTATCAAAATTCTTAGGTCCTAGATGTTCAGACTTCCTTCAAGTCATTCATTCGTTCATTGACTTACTCATTCTTTTTTTTAAATTTGATAAATATTTTTTCAAACACTTGGTAGCTAGTAGGCATTGAGGATCCAAGGATCCTTAGAGGTGGTCACAATTTGGGTTTTGTTGTTATCAGTGAGAGAGTGAAGGATGCTGTGGGGTTGGAGGTGGGAACTGGGAGGTAAACTAACCATTTCAATGTAGTACAGTAAGTAATTTAAATAAGATACTTTCGATCAGGAGGGACAGCTAACTGCCTAGGGAACTTAAGGAAGACTTCCTGATGGAGAGAATACTTCATTGGGCCTGAAAGAATGAGTAGGAGCTTGTTGGTTGAATGCTATGGTATGAATGTATGTGTACCTCCAAAATTCATATATTAGAAATTAACTCCCAAGGAGATTGTATTAAGAGCTGGGGCTCTGGGGAGGTGATTAAGCCATGAGGGCTTCACCCTCAAAAATGGGATATGTCTCTTTATAAAAAAGGCTAGAGAGAGCTGTGGAACCCCTCTTTTGCCTTTGTGCCATCTGATGGTAGAGCATTCATCTCTTCTGGAGGATGCAGCAACAAGGTAGTATCTAGAAGCAGAGGGCAGCCTTCACCAGCCACTGACCCTGCTGGTGTCTTGATCTTGGACTTGTCAGCTGCCAAAACTGTGAGAAATAGATTTCTGTTGTTTATTAATTACCCAGTTTTGGGTGTTATAGCAGCACAAACAGACTAAGACAGAGAAGAAGGGTAAAATGGGAATAGCAGAGTTTCTGAGTCATGAAAGAATGTGGATGGGATCAAAGATGGGATGTAGGCTGGAGCTTGGAGTGAGTGAGGGGAGGGAGCACATAAGGCTAAAGAAGTGAACTAGACCAGGTTGATAAGAACCTTCTGAGAATAAGGGCCTTGCTAAAGATTTTATTTTGAATATGACCTTCAAGCACAGGGTTATATGACCATTTTTGGTTTTTAGGAAGTACCTGTAATAGGATTACGGAGAATGGATTGGGATGGATAGAGTAGTCTGGGTCAAGAGGACCATTTAGCATGACTTCGGAGTAGTCTAAACAAGAGAGGTCAACAGAGAGCTGTTGAGAGGCAGAGCAAGGATTTAATCCAGATCTCTTTGGCTCCAAAGCTATGCTTTTTCTACAACTTGGTGGTATTACCAACCCCTCCAAGGTGCCCATAAGTGATGGCCTATTTAGGAACCTGTTCCAAATTATTGTGTGTGTGTGTGTGTGTGTGTGTGGTTTTTTTTCCTGCTTATTTGCTGTATGATCTTGAATCAACATTATGATATAAAACTAGTCTCTCCCCATTTTTAAGGAGGGGATTGTCAGTTCTTAGTATCTCCTTTCAGGGCTTTTGCTGAACCCTGATTAAAGAATACACGAGCACCATGTAGTAAATGGGAGCTACAAGTAGCCCTGATCCACGAAGTCATTGACAGGTTATTATATCATGTGATTTTAATTTTTTATAATATCTTTTCAATATATAACAA